GTGTGTGTCTGTGTGTGAGTGTGAGTGTGTGTGTGTGTGTCTGTGTGTGTGTGTGTGTGTGTGTGTGTGTGTGTGTGTGTCTGTGTGTGTGATACTCACTAATGCTCAGGCTACAGAAATCATGAGAACAGCACACAAATAATGACTGAAAACCACACACAGTCACACCGCAGGAAATTAACCTCCTCATTTATACAAAATCAGTGCATGTGCATAATATTTACACGCTCACTCCAGCAGAAATCAGTGGCTTTCCTTTCTGAATGTGTCCTGTGGTGCGACACGCATCTACTGCAGCTAAATTATATTAAACAGCAAAAGTTTTAAAACATTCTGTGATTATGAGCTCATGAAATGAAATGATCATTTTTTTAGACAATTTAAAAAGGCTTTTGTCACACCACAAGGTAAAAATGTAATGATTTTTATTTATTTAATTAGCTGGAGAAAAAGAAATAGTGACAATATGTGAGGTAGGAACCTTTCCCTTATACACGTATAGCAAAATATATCTAAGGTCCACGCATCAACTGATCAAAGACATTTACTTTGAAAAGCTCTAATAGTTGAAGATGTTTCATGTATAGGCTATACAGATGTGAATATTACATTTATACTCAAATATTCTATTAAACCGATAACAGATTTACTTCACTGACATCCTTAAACTCTGATATGTACTTTCTGCTCTGATGTGTTTCTTTGTCACAAACACTGTAAACACGATACACACACCATGTGATATCGTTTTTTGGTATCAGAGCATTTTAATGAGAATGAGTACAAATAAATGAGCTCCAGAATCAGGCCTAAAAAAGTACGGAACAAATACAGCGTTGTTTTAAACACTGCATGTGTGGAACTTAATTAGGAACTTTCAGTTTTATATACAGTTACTTTAAATAAGAAACAAAGTTTCATTGTTCAGATTCTGTACATTTTATCAGGAAATTCAAACAATAAATGGTGTTTTGATGTGTTGTGAGAGATAGGGTGCTTTCACACCTGGCCTGTTGTTTCGGAACCTGGCGTGTTTTCCCCCTTAGCTCGGTTAGTTTGGGCATATGTGAACACGGCAATCGCGCTTGGATCTGCGCCAAAACAATCGGTCCGAGATCGCCTGAACGAGGTGGTCTCGGCTCGATTGAAAACGAACTCTGGAGCGGTTCGGTTGTAGTGAGAAAGCAATCCGATCCAACAGACCAACGAACCAGGCTATATCACAATTTATGATGGGTAATTACGTAAATTCCGTGAAAAGCATTAGCTTTGTTGTTTTGCTAATACCTCAAAATGAACCTGTGAATATCTGTGGGTGAGCACGTCTTTGCCATTCAAAAATCAAAGCACACTTTATTTTATAATGCCGTCTTATTGCTCTTCTTTGTAGGTGCATTTTAAAAATGTTTTCCCGATCAATCCTG